GTTGAAACGTCGTCGTTGAACAAAAAATTTTTAACTTTCTTAATATGCTCAGAAATATTTTATCGCAATTTTTTATAGTTAAATGTTTAGAAAAATCGCTTGTTATTCGAATCTCTGCAGGTGTTATCAAAATACTATCCTGGAAGTTACTTTGGTTTTGACAGACAGGGCTCGCCAGTCTTCATTGATCCCATCGGACAAATCGACTTTAGAGGTACGATGACAGGACTCTGAGTGAGAAGATATTGAAAGGTGCAAGAGCACTGGATAAATATTAACTAGGATATCCATTCTAAAATTATGCTGGTCACTACATTTCTGTTACTGAATAAGATGACTCTAGTTGTTGGATTATCGGTAGGTTTTCGTTACAGTTGTTTTGCTTAATAGGCAGGAGTCCAGGATATCTTATGTTGCCTTATAAATATATTTTTTTATATTTTTGAAAGGACTGCTGTCATCTGTAAAGAAAGAGGAAATTGTTAGATTCAAGGCTTACTTAGGTGAATATGGAATGGCCCTAGGCAGACAACAGTCAGCAAAGGTATAATAACTGGTAATCTGTAGAATATTTTATTCTGCTGTAGTGAAGTAAATATTAATACTGACACTGTTTAACTATGATGAGAATTTCTGCTAAATAATAAATCTGTAAGATTATCAGACACTGGAAAATCGAATAATATAATTAAAATCTCTTTTTCCCAGCTTGGTAAACGGGTTGACCAGGTTGTGATGGTGATGGATATGGAGGGTCTGGGACTGAAGCATCTTTGGAAACCAGGTTTGTATACAAGAAGCTACCAATATATGCTAACTGAGTTGTGGAGTTTCTCTAAATTGGATAACTGGTGTAATGGGGAGATGTTGATACCTTCTGGGGACACATTGCCAGGCTGTGATAATGATTGTCTGACTAGTAAAAGTAACCTGACTAATACAGTGACCAGCTGTTGATGGAGCTAACTCAGCACTAGCCATGACACAGGCCTTATGAGCAACAACGGCAATCAAACTACTCCCTGAGTCAACTGATTACATCAGTCCAAGAGATGCTCAGATCCTCAAATGGTAGCAAGTTCCAGCAAAAGGCTTTTCTTGGAATCATGGCATTTCAATGTGGACACTGTTAACAACAAAAACCACTCCCTCATGCTTGTGGGTCATTGATTTTCAACAACACACAAGTTTGTTGGACCAGCAATAATAATGGCTCCTCTGCTGAAGGTGGATAGAAGCCATTGGAAATTCAGAAAAACAAAGAACACATCAGTTACAGAAATTTTCTTTTCAGGGAAATAACATTTGACTGTATAAATGCTTCTCATCACTAATAGAGGACTTGAGCATGACTCCAAATAATGACTGATAATATTGAGGAAACTGTGATGACGTCAATCAATAACATTAACTAAAAGGAATATTGGTAATAAATCTGACCGTGTGATAGAAATAGACATCTGCCCTAACTAAATTCTTATGTCTTCTCATGCTGTTTATAATGAATGTATTTCCTTTAATTTCAGGTGTGATGCTTTTTAACACAGTAAGTCACAACATTACCTATGGACAGCATGTGCAACATCTGAACTTAGGGCATTTACTCTGTCTGTTAAAATATTGTATTGCACTTTTTGTAAGATTTTTGCCGTAGAATTCCGAAAGGATTTAGCAGGCAAAAGGGGCTGCTACTTTCGGGCAGCCAGTACTTTTGGATGGTTAAAACACGTTTGTATGGTAATTCAGTCGTTTCAGACAAAGTGGAAATGTAACACAGTGAAAAATCTCAATTATGTATATTAATTACTAATCAACTACCCACATATACAAAGCAGACTGTATAAACAAATAAAGGCCCCAATATTGGTACTGTCAGAAGAAAGGTATGGTCGCATTATATTGCAATGTAACTAAAACTGCTTGAAACGTTATATCAAATATATGACGTTGACTTTTATTTGGTTTTTATTGCAGTCAAGTGGTCATCTTCACAAGGCTGCTACTTTTGGGTGGGTCATTACTTTCAGGGGGACCGTTACTTTCAGGATTCAATAGGAAAGTAAAAAGTTAACATTACTTTCAGGCAGCCATTATTTTCAGGGGAGACCGTTACTTTCGGAATTCTACGGTATTTCTTGAGAAGGTGAAAAAAAAATGAACATTGTTATTAAATGATGTTATTCCAAAATGAATTGCATTACAAGGGCTCTAAAATGAATGACTTTAATTCAACAGATTACTGCATTTTATGAAGATAATTTTCCTGAGGTGATGAAGAATATTTTAGTAATTAAAGGTGTGTTTCTCGTTTTCTTGAAGCTGTTGTTTTCTCCCATTTTTCATCCACATTCCAATCAATTACCGGAATGGGCAAATGTTTTCTCTTTGATTGGCTGAAAGGAGGCAAAATTTTAATCAGTGAAAGTAGTAGTAGTAGTAATAGTAATAATTATAGTAAAATAGTTATAATCAGTGATGTTAAGAAATAACTTTCATGGTCGTTCCCTCCCTCCCGGCCTGTTATTCCCTGGGGTGTGGGTGCGGCTACACATAGGCTAATGAAGAAACAGGTGACCCAACAAAAATTCTGGGGGATGGCATCCACCCGCACTGTGTGCTCAAGGGTTAAAGTAATAGTTCCACCATATCAAGTTTGTGTTACTTTGTTACTTTGCAGCTCCCAAGATATTTCCTATAGCATATGCTTTAGTCAAACCTTTTCTAAATGAAGTCACAAGAAACAAAGTGAAAATACTGGGAGGTATGACTCTGGATTGTTTGCATGTCTATCTGTCTGTCTATTTGTGGTTTGAAACGTAAAAAGGGATACAAGAGGCATATGGAGCCCTTATTCAGAAAAAATGCACACACCTTTGATATATTTTATTTGTGGTAGGAGATTGGAAAACAGAGATTCTGGAATATATTGATGAAGACAATTTGCCAGAGAACTATGGAGGCAAGTGTCGAGATCCTGATGGAGACCCGTTGTGCAGATCAAGGGTACGTATATTTATTTTTACTTCTGTTCTCAAAGACATTAATAAAAATATTATTGTTTTCTTGAACTTTTAAAGTCATGTACCATACTTAAAAAATATATATANAATAGTAATAATTATAGTAAAATAGTTATAATCAGTGATGTTAAGAAATAACTTTCATGATCGTTCCCTCCCTCCCGGCCTGTTATTCCCTGGGGTGTGGGTGCGGCTACACATAGGCTAGTGAAGAAACAGGTGACCCAACAAAAATTCTGGGGGATGGCGTCCACCCACACTGTGTGCCCAAGGGTTAAAGTAATAGTTCCACCATATCAAGTTTGTCTTACTTTGTTACTTTGCAGCTCCCAAGATATTTCCTATAGCATATGCTTTAGTCAAACCGTTTCTAAATGAAGTCACAAGAAACAAAGTGAAAATACTGGGAGGTATGACTTTGGATTGTTTGTATGCCTATCTGTCTGTCTATTTGTTGGTTTGAAATGTAAAAAGGGATATAAGAGGCATATGAAGCTCTTATTCAGAAAAAAATGCACACACCTTTGATATATTTTATTTGTGGTAGGAGATTGGAAAACAGAGATTCTGGAATATATTGATGAAGACAATTTGCCAGAGAACTATGGAGGCAAGTGTCGAGATCCTGATGGAGACCCGTTGTGCAGATCAAGGGTACGTATATTTATTTTTACTTCTGTTCTCAAAGACATTAATAAAAATATTATTGTTTTCTTGAACTTTTAAAGTCATGTACCATACTTAAAAAATATATATAAATTGTTAAAAATTATCTTGTACACATTTTTGAGTTATTTTTTTGTAAAAAAAA